TTAAATCAATAAACTATAATTACACGAGATAAAAATTTACGAAAAAAGAATAACAAACAGCCTCAAAACTTGGCTGCATACCTAAATAAATAACAATACTCATTACTTATCTAAAAAGCGAAAAGAGAATCGATATGAAAAGAAAAAAGCAGCGCAAATTTTCTCGACTTTTTTTTTCATGAAAATGCAGGGCAAATTTCCAGTTCCTCTCAGAGACTGACGTTATTATTCAACCCCCTGCGGCACACTTTCAGTTCAGAGCTACCTGGGAACTCTGATACTATGATAGAAGATGAGTAAGTTATTGAACATTTGAGTATAATCTTGGTGTACAACAGTTAACACTCAAGACATTAGCACAGTGGTGCGTAGTTTGAAAGTGGGTTCAGATGAGGAACCATCGAAACCATTGTGAGGCGTCATGGGGAAATCAGGCTCTCGTCAAAATAATTTTTTTTTAATTTTAAAAGGCATTTTTCCTAGTTTGGTAATTTTTTCCCAAAATTTTGCTTCTCGGCTCAACATTTTTATGTCCGTATTAAAGCACATTTTTATGTCCGTATTAAAGCACATTTTTATGTCCGTATTAAAGCACATTTTTATGTCCATATTAAAGCACATTTTTATGTCCGTATTAAAGCACATTTTTATGCGAATTTTACTGAAAGACGTAGATTAATGACACAAAATACATAAATTTTCAGTTTTCAAGGATTCTGTACTTACAAAAGTTACCAAATTTTGCGGCCATTTTCTCATTTATTTTACCTCTGAAAACAGGTTACCCCCCCACCTCCTTTAATCGCTACTAACTCGAATTCTATTCAAGATAGATGAGTATTTATTTCATAGAAAGCAAGGCAAATATATAAGCTTTCATAAGATACCAATAACACCACATGCCCAAAAATTGACGAGTGCCTGATTCCACCACGCTGTCACACAATTAACCTTTGGTTGTTGTTGTTGGTGGTGGTGGCAGTGAGTTATTGACAACGTTAACACTCTTGAGTGGTGAAACATGACTTGGGACTTTTGAAATACCTCAACAGACAACAGTTAACATTGGTGACATCATCACTGTGACCGGCGAGTTACTGGCCGTCTGAGATACCTTGGTATGCAACAGACGGCATTAACATTTCGGATTCAAGAGAGGTGCAGTTAAAAATAATAACCCCTGGTTGGTGACTGGAAGTCACTGGACTTCTGAAATACCTCGGACATACACAACCGTGCAGCTACCATTCACAACATCAAAGGTCTTGCGTGTGAGTGATCTTTCGGCCCCCCAAAAAGACAAAGGGGCGTAAACAATCATTGTCCGTTATTTCAAGGTCATCAGAGTCAGGTGCGAAAAGCTCCAGATTGGCCTGCCTTTCGAATGAAATCCTTGACCACTGCCTCGTCCAGATCTATGAAAGCCTCCGTCTGAGTGACCGCTGTCATGTGAGCCAGGCAGAACCGGAAACAGAACTCTTCCAGTTGCTGCGGAGGACATAAGTGCCAAAGATTAGA